CTAATAATCTTGACAAAGATTTAACTAGGGACATTTGTCATTTTCAAACTGAGTGAAAAAACTTTTTCCTAGTAGAACACACCATGGCCCATTCATGAGCTTGGACCCTCATTCGACTGTTACTCTTCTCAACGTACAGCGCTCCCATGAAGGAGCCAATGGAAGTACCCCCACCATATCGATAGGGATCCCCGCCTCATTCAGTGCCCGCAGGACACTGACCTGGGAACAACCTTTGCAAAGAAATCCTTGTAAAAGAGGTTTGAAATCTCAATGGGACTTCCTGTTTAATTAAAGGGTAAATAAAAAAAATAAAAAAAACATGATACCCAATATGACAGCTTGTTTAAAAACCATCTAACAGGTTAACCAGTCTCACATTTACACGCAAAATTTTTTGTAAGGACATAAAATTGTGTCATTACATGTTTCCAGTGTAGTTTGACACTTGCAATTATTCAGAGATATAGTGTGTCAAATCACACTGGTAGGAAAATGTTATTTGAATAAAATTTGTGAAAAAAAATTTCAGCTACTTTATTTGACTTTTCTAACTCAAATTTGACTTTATCCATCTTCTGTTCTGTTTCAGGTCCTCCTCCTCCTCACCTGTCAGTGTCTTTAAATGAAAACTAGTCCCTCTTATGTTTTATCCTAACTCTAATCATGTTCAGGATATGGCATAGAACACAACCAGATTATTCATATCCTCATATGAGTCTAACATTGGCCAGGTTACTGTTCCTTTGTACAGGGGTGTCTTTAATGCCTCCACAGTAAGGCTCTGTCATTTCTGGACTGAGGAGCAGATGTTAGGAATAGGATTCTTTCACTGAGCCTGTGGCTGTCCCCACCAGATTTTTTTATCAGAATCAGAATCAGCTTTATTGCCAGGTGTGTTGGACTGGGAGAACAGAAGTAAAGAAGTAATGTGCAAACAAACAAAGGAATGTGCATTTGGAAACAAGATAAAATAATGATAAATAAAAATAAATAAATAGGATTGTGAGGATTTAGCCTAAATGTAATGTGGCTTGAATGAAGCAATAATAATTCACAGCTCTATAGTCTGACTTATCTATATGGACACTAAGAATAGTAATGGCCCTTTGACACCCAAGGCACATGCATGGTACCTCATAAAGCAATTGTTTCGAACCTCTGTGCCGAGGCGTGTTTCGGTCACGTGACTAGTGACGTTTTAATCACTTGAGTGTGTTCGTCGGACGTCAGGTGAATCAGCTGATTGGTTCGGTTTGTCATGTGAATCACTTTGGATCAGTGTGTTCAGAGATGGGATATCCCTATTTAGTGGCGTTCATTTGAATCTGTCTTTGCAGAGTAGGTCGGTTTGTTGTTGTTGTTGCCGTTAGTTGCTTTGAGAGTTTGTAGTGTTGTAACTGATTGGGTATTTAGTGGAGAATCACTGTAGATAGAGAGATAGATCAATAGATACATAGTAAGTTAGAGAGAAATAGATAGTTACATAATTAAATAACACGAGATATAGTTACATAGATAGTCCTAAATAACGTTAGATATAAATAAGATGTAGATATATTACATATATAGATAAGATATACTGTATATAGATATATTGCATATATAGTTACCCAAACCTCTATGAATTATCCAAGCATTTGCTGTGTACCCCAGCCTCATCTGTGCCATGTGAACGGGTTTTTTCAAAGGCTGGGGAAATAGTCTGTAAAAGGAGAAACCGCTTGTGTCTGAAAACTGTGGATTTACTGTTATTTCTCAATAAAAACTCATAAACAGTTACACAAACATACCCACTGCCCTGTTCTTCAAACACACCCTCTTTACCCACATACCAATGAACCCCAAAACAAACTTTGCCAAAGTCCATACTATAATCTGTATTTGCACCAGTCCCATGTGAAAATGACATCTGTCTGAATTTGTAGACCACATTTCATAAATGCAGTAGCACCATTTAAATGTTTTCATAACACAAAATATAAGTGAGGAGCATATAGGGTTAAACTCAGACGTGTCAAATAAGAAACATGGTCTTCAACATGTGTCCATGTTTATTTTATATTTTATTGTGTCAGCTTGAAACCATACAACCATGTAGTGTAGTGGAACAGGAATGTGCATGGCGAATCAAATCCCAAACCATCCTTGAACCAATAAGCGACACGTTTTGACTGCACTTCCATTTCTTGACCACTAGAAGTCCTACTCGAGCACTGTGTCATTGAAGCCTCAAGTAATGAACTATTTGTGTGAATACTGTGTCGAAGCTTCAACAAAGCCTCATCGGCTATCATTGAATGAGAACACTTAACAAGAGAGCCAACATTTAAGGTCAAAATCAGCAAACACGTTTACTTGGTTACAGCTAATTGTCACAGACTGTCTGGGCTCCGCTTCTGTGTTGGCAATCCACTACACATCAAGAGGACGAGTCAAAGCAAGCATAAAGAAAACCAAAAATTGTGCTTCGACAGTCTTTAAAAAGTGCAAAGACACAGAGTTTCAGTTAACCCTTTATGACACTGAGCAAACGACTTTCCCCGCATGACTTTGTTATCCAAGTTTCTGTGTAAAGTTACATGCAACATGTAAGGTAAGAAAATAATGTGAATATCCTGTCATACTTCAAAATAAAACCGTTAAGGACCAAAATGTACAGAGACCTTGGAAAACCAAGGTGTGATGCAGGCATACACAGTATTTAACCAGGCTTTGGGGTGGAATTTAAAAGCAATATTTTACATTTTGTGATACAAAGGGATATCCGTAGTTCAACCGAACATTTACTGGGACACGTTTACACATACTCTGCCTTTTACGCATTTATTTTGAAAGTTAATGTCTATGTCCTAAGCAACTGTCACTTACTTGACCCTCTCCAATCACTGACAGTGCCGTGCTAGTATGTCGGATTTTAATTGGTGGATGGTGTTACAATTTCAGCCAATTGCTGACTATATCATTGGACAGTCAGGAACATTACTGCATTAGCATAAAGAATATCCTTGAGGTGAGGGGAGTTGCACAATTCTAATGATTTATAAACCTAGGGGAAAGTTAAAATGATAGCATTTACAGGACATTTAAATGTTATGTACTATTTTAGTGTAAATTCATACTTATCTTACCAGCAGGCGATTAGCTGGCTCGTACGTTATCTTTAGCTAGCTAGTTAACTATACAGTAGACAATGCAACACTGTTTTAGCCTAGCGTTAGGTTAGAAGTGTAACGAATGTAAGTTACGAATATTTTGGCGATCTTTTCCTATCCATATTTTCACTTCATGTTGAACAATGTGGTCATAACAAATAACGCACATTTTCTTTGGACTCCTTTGATTAATTTTCTCTGTTCTCGAAGGAAGAAACGCTGTGGCATCAGCATCATGGGTGTGTTATCTACGCTGTTCAGGGGTCTGGTAAGAGGAGCAGACAGGATGTCCGAGTTCACCAGCAAGCGTGGATCAAGAACTCATAATAAAGGCAGGGGTGCAAGGCCCACTGGAATAAAGCTCCCCAGCAAAAAGTTTGTGTCCATAAAGGCCATGATTCCTGAGTTTGTGGTGCCTAACTTGGAGGGATTCAAACTCAAACCCTACGTCTCCTATCGTTCTCCCAGAGGAACAGAGCCCCCACTCACGGCACAGAGGCTGTTCACTGAGGTTGTGGCCCCTCAGATCAAGAAAGACTTTGAAGAGGGCACTTTCAGCAAAGAACATCTGGAGAAATATGGATTTGAGCCCACACAGGAGGGGAAGCTTTTTAAACTGTATCCCAAGAACTATGTGCGTTAAAGATGCACTCTCAGTGAAATGTATCTACAAGGAAAGGCCTAGACAGCTTGTGTGTTTACAAGGATAGACTGCCCAGATGACTTATTTTTACAAATGATATGGCACTTCCACAATCGTAACACAATGGACTGTATTTTATGCTTAGAAAAATTAATATTCTACAAGTGGTTTGGAATTACTTGATGTTCAAACCCAATAAGAGGGGATATGATCTATACCACAGAAATGTCCATTTATTATTGTAAATACCAGTTAAACAGATTGAGCTGATCATTTACACATCACAGCTGTAGTCTACTAAACCAAGGGTTCTGTTTGTCAAAGATAAGATCTCACATGTGGGCTCAAACAATAAATTATAAAACTACAAAATGCACAGAGATGACTGTTCTGAGTTACTCTTTACATTCTCTTAGAAGTTTGACTTAATGATTTATTTTTCCATTTATAATTTTACCCCTTGATCTTAAAGAAATTTTCACTCATACCTGACATATACACAGTGCACCAGAAGTCAATATATCTTTATTGGCCAGAAAGTGTAATGAATGTAGCCAGCACAACAAGCGGCCCCTGCACACTTTAATACAGAACTGTGATGAAGCTTCTAAAAACATATGGCGAAGACTGCCATGTCAGAGTTTTGGGGAGCAGTAGAGGGGTTATGTAAGACTTATCAAATGTAAAAAAGGGGTTCTCTATGGGAGGTTCTTTACATCTGAGCCTTGATACCAGTCTTCACCCAGCTAGTCTGGACTAAAATCACATCATCAAGCATAGAACCTGTCAAAACATCATTAACAGGAGCGCAAAGTGTCCAGAGGGGTTCAAAAGAAGAGGATTTTCACTTTGAGAATCAGTGAAGTCATCAGACACACATGCGGATGCATACCTAGTCCATGTGTAAAATTTGGTGCTGGTCTTCAAGACAAATTTTCATGTGAACAATATCCCTTTACACAATCACAAAGTACTTAAAAGGAAAGGGCTGCAAATGAATGGTTGTACTGATCTTGATGCTACAGGATATAAAATGCAGATTATACACAGTTTAGGTTTAAATACAAATTTATAAAAATCTGTCATGAAAATATATGGTTTTGCTAACTGCATATTCTGTGACAAGTTATTCCAGAGTGAAGGGGACTTGTCTTCATGATAAAGACTGAATGGAATAAGTACATCCTGCCCATATCATCGTTGGTGTTGTACCTTCTGCTTTACTTCAGTACATTCAAAAATTTAATGAGAGATATTTTTATAGTGTGATCTCAGCATCATTAACATTGCTCTGATTCCTGTTGTGCCTCATCTGGAGTCCAGTCCCAGCGCCACACATGGAGCATATGGTCATAGAAGGAACAGCTCGCAAGCAGACAAGTCAAAGAAGGGACATCACCTTCTGGGTTAGAGACAGGGCCTGCAGTAAGGGTGGAAGATGCCACTGCAGTACCCTCTGGGATATATCGTCCAGCATCATCCTCCAGGGAAGCGTCAAAGCTGGCAGTGGGAGATTCATACTGAATCCTCAGATGCCCTCTGGTCTCAGTGAGGCTTTCCTTTGGCTCTGCAGCGGTAGGAGAGCAAGGAGCATGTTTCTCCAGGGACAGTCGGGACCAGTCAGCTCCATATGCTAGGGAGTTGTGGAGGATGTAGGAGGCTACAACGGGACAAGCTCTGCCACTGCTCTCTGGTGAATGATAGGAAAACAACATGTTAGAGAGAGAAACTCGCATATTCTGATTGCACACTTGTGAGGAATCATGTTTTTCCATCAGATTAAGTTCACACAATCCTGTTACACAATGTGCTGGGGTGATTAACTGTTCTCTTATGACTAGTATAGGCGTGGTTCCTAACTTCATCCCCATCATGGGAAAAAGATAACTAAATATGAGGAATGAAAGTAATTTAAACGTTTGGGGACTCTAAAAACAAATAAAGAAAGTCGTCTTTGGTTGAACTAGTCATAACTGGTAGAGATGTAACAGATAAGGATTGTAGGCAGGAATGTCCTCCAGCAGTTATTGGTCAGAATTCCTTGATATCAGATATCTACTGATCCAGAGTCTTACCTGATACCTATATTTATCTTAATGACACTACTGCACAGAGCAGACTCAAGCTACAACCTGAAAACAAGATCCCATTTTTTGTGCCAAAGATGCTGAGTTTACATAGTACATATTATTCTGTACAAAGCTGCAAAAGATATACGTCGTTGTATAAATATGTAACTGACACACTCGAACCTACCACATTTGACAGACCTCATTTCTTACAAGCTACTTGATTGAAATATTGAAGGTCCTGGAAAATAATAATAATAATGAACAGCTTAAATTATAAATTATTGGATTTCTTTTGCAGGAGAAGATGTCTCACTCTGTTGAGAGTATGGAAAACTGCAAAAATACACAGTGGTGTCAGAGTGAGTCTCTGTCCTCACAAATGATCTGTGGCTAAACATTGACACCAGCAGCAGAGAGCACTTTAACCTCACAACAGCTGAGTTTAATGCTGGTCCGTGACTGAGTTACTCACAGAATTAACATACTTAGCCAGAGCTGACCTTCTGTCACCAACTTTTGTTGTTTTAGGTGGCAAAAGCGATATCAGCACCGGCAACAAATAAGATACTGCTACTTGAATAATATGCATGCTGCTCTTTTCTAAGGAGGGACGCGAGAGAAGCTGAACAAAACTGTGTATTTTGCCAGCCTGAATGTCAAAACTCTGAGCCACTAACATATAAAGTGAAATGCTTAAAACGTAGAGTGTTGTTGTCATAAATAAGAGCAGCTTTACAGCAGCAGCCGCCAGGTAACAATGACAAAATACAGTGGATATGTACAGTGAATAATGGATCAACATTTGATCAGGTCCACTACTGATACCTTAAAATACTCGTGTTTTGGGCCCAAGCGGCAACTTCCGAGGCTGAGATGAAGCCAATGCGGAAGTGCCAAAACCTCAAGCAGTGTTCCTTGAATGACCACATGAGACTGGCTCCAAAAGGGAGTCAGTCCCCATAGACTCTCATTTTAAATTGCCCAACTTTACAGCAGAAATAAACATGTTTACAGCCTGGTACAAAAAACTATTTTGGTCTCTATAGCTAATTGAAAAGTGTACGGGAGGTGAATTTTTTTTTTCTAACTCGTTCATTTAAATTGTATTGAGACCACTGAAGCTCTACCAATATGGCGACGGCTAGATTTGAGCTTCAGAACCACTCTTCAGAAAACCAATGGGTGATGTCATGGTGAGTTTGTCCAGTTTTCATATACATTCAGTGGCTGGGGCCCTTCTGTTAAGTGGTCACAAGCCAAAGAAGATGGGAACCACTGATATAAAAGCTCACACTGTCATCACTGCCTTTTTGTTGATGTAGCCAAAATGAAGGAAGGACATTGGAGTTCCAACAAACATGTAACTCCAAAGACAAAGAAAATACAGTGCTTTGCATTAAAAGCCAGAGGTTTCTGCTTTTTCTGCCACTTCTGGAGTTCATACTGAGATTCCAGTGAGTATTTCCTTGTCCACCTCTCCTTCATACTTACCCAAGGCCTCCTGGCAGTTAAGGACATGGAAGCCATTGTGCATGCAGGCTGCCAGCAGCAGATGCTGATGAGCTGGATGCCACTTCAGCCTCCACACTCCACCGCCCATGGCACTCTCACTGAGAGGCTGCCGCATGTTTCTGCCATCCCACAGCAAAACTTGCTCATCATAGCTGCAGAAAGAGAAGTCAAAAACACAACCCTTACAATGATATGATAAAAGTGAGCCTGCCACACTGGAGAACAAGACCCAAACTGCAGTAGTAGACAGCTGTCGCAGTCATACCATTGTCACTCAATGCCAAATTACCATACAGAATTCCTGGGATATTCACCTGCCTGTAGCCAGGATGTGTTCCCTATGTGGGTTGCTGTGAATACTGCACACACCCATTGAGTGCCTTCAAGAGAACAGACCAGAAACAGTCACTGCACTTGGCCTAGATGGGCAGAACAAATGAATGCTGATGACACTAACAGGAGTACTAACCTTTTACTGGTGAAAGTGGGGCATGAGGGACCGACCCTGAGATCCCAACCTTTAAGTATGCAGTCATCACCACCTGGCAAGTGGAGACACAGACGACATATGCAGGCATGCAAAGATAATAGGGGTGCCACAAGATCTCATGATATTAAAATGTGATGACATTTTTTTGTATTTTTTTATTGGACATCATATTTGTCATCGAGGTAAAAGCTGCCTTGTGATATCAATAGACAACAAAACCAAAGCAGTAGTGTGGGGTCAGGGTGGCAGTGTGCGATACGGCCAGGTTGCGACGAGTCGACATGAGTGGCTTCATTCATGTCTCCAGCCTGTGAGTTTCCATTGTGTTTTGGTTAGCCAATGTAGCCTACTCTACCTTAGCACCAATTCTGTCACCAGTGTGTCAACATTGATAGATAAAAACACTGTTTAACATCCAGTATTAATGAAAATGCATGGCGTGTCGTTATGGTGCGTTAACTGTGGCCCGGATAAAACAGTAAATAGCAGCGAATGCTCATACTAACAAGGTAAACGAGTGTCTTGCTCCTGTGGGTATCCACGTCCCAATCATCCCCTGTGCGTGACTGGTCAAATGCAGCGCCTTTGCCAAATAATGTCACTGTCCGCTGCGGTGCAGTGATGCATAGTAGGTCACACAAGAGTTAGAAGCTCACACATAGTTCATGCACAGTAATAAGGTCTGAGGAGACTCAAGTGAAATCCTACAGGAAAGAAGCCAGTCAGTTGAGTTTGTGGCAAAAACCCTTTACAGTGTTTGGATACTGTTGTCTTTTACTGCATATGGAAATTCATATTCAGAGAGTAGAACTGAAGTGACATTCATTACAAGATGATTTGTTAAAACATTTCACAATGCACCTGCATTGTTTTGCATTTTGTGACTTTCAGTAAAAGAAAGTACAGTTTTTCCAGTCATATATTTCATCATTGAAGATTTCTTAAAAATAACATTAAAATATAGTCTCGTCTTATTCTTGCAAACCCAATACTGTGTATTGTCTTGTGAGCTAAATGTATCGTCACATCCTTAAAAGATAATCAACTGATAAGCACTGTACGGTTATTTTTGGTAAAACACACAGTGAGATAAACAAACACTGACATACTGTAGGTAAGTCTAGATAGGCTGACAGACAGAAAAAGAGGTTAGCCCGAATGAAGTTTCAGTTTAGGCCCCTCTAGCAGGTCAGAGACAGCCCTGTAGGTATTCATCTGAACATGAAGGACTATAATTTGAACTGGGTGTTTACCAGAGTAAACCAGCTGCATGTCCCAGTATGAGAAGGCTGAGATCCAGGCCTCAAAGTCATGGGCCTTCCACTGTGACAGAGCTGTCAGAGTGCCTTCTGCCAGAGAGAGCACACTGACACAGCCTGCAGAGTCACTGCACACCACCCGCACGTCACTGCTGCTGACACCAATAGGGGACACATGACATGACCACAGTGATTTTTGTACAGCTAGGTTTAACACTAACTGTCAAATGAAAACATACAGCAAGTGTTGCTCTGGACCATGCTGAGTATCTTACCTGTCCATTCTTCCAGTGGACCAGTCTAACGAAAGAGCCAGCCTATCTGCTCCCACCTCCAAACTGCTCAGGCTCTGTATACTGCGGCTGCCCTCCTACTGGATACACACAATCATGAATGCAGACGCACATCCTGCACTTTAAGATCCACAGCTGGACCTCATTATTTTAAATTAGCAGTAGGCTAAACATTTATTTATCATTTATTTGACCAAGCATGTTATGTTCATACATACAGCAACATACACGCACTCACATATGTCAAATGTAACGCAACAACAACATGTTAACTCAAATTTCTTTTAACACAACTAATTTTTTGATACGTGATTAACACACAGACATTCTGTGATTATGACCCTTGGCTTTTCTGTTTTTTTGTCTTGTTCCAATGCAAACAAAAGAAATAAACATGAGAATACCAAAAATTTGTGATTTCAACTATTTTCCAGGAGAAGTGGTGTGTTATCTGACAGAAATGCAGAAATGCTTTTAACAACACTTATTAAGTGTTGTTTAAAGGAAAGGTGATGTAACATAGTGGTGAAAATACCCGTCCCAGCTCTTTTGGAACGTGGTGCAGGCATCAAATTCAAAATGAGTGAATATTTGCAAAAAACAATAAAGTTTATCAGTTTGAACATTAAATATCTTGTCTTTGTAATGTATTCAATTAAATATGGGTCAAAAAGGATTTTCAAGTCATTGTATTCTGTTTTTATTTACGTTTTATACAATGTCCCAACTTCATTGGAATTGGGGTTTGTACATGTTGACTCTGTAAATAATCATCAGCTAAAAGCCTAAAAACAAGACTTCAATGGCTTCGATTTTTCTGATGCCACATTTCTCACCTGACTGTCTGACAGTGTGTACAGTTGTATGTCCCCTGTAGCAGCTGCCATTCCCAGTACTGCCTTCCCTGAAACCATCACATGGCACCTGAGAACATGCAAAAGAATAAGTAAGTGGGAGGCAAAGAGTGACAGCAACAGTCCAACAGGTCAAACCTTACCATTTCAAATCTAAAATGGCAGCTGTGTCCATGCGCTGCAGTTCAATCAGTGGTGGACTCAGTGATTCCTCTTGCTGAAATTCAAAAACGACCGGTGCGGCTGGGGGCGACACCCTTTTCCCCTGCCTAAAGGAGGAGTGTGAAAGTTACACAACAGAATTCAACAGTCTGCAAATCCTGCCATACTCTATAAGGATAATATGGTGAACAGTACAAATCAGTTAAAACTTCAACATCCTTGTATTACAGGGTTGCTTAATGAATTAAACTAGTCTGCAGTCCTCACTGCAGACTAGTTATTAGTTGTGTAGCCACTTCAACTAATCCATATACAGTAGTTAATACAAGTCACTTCAGTGATGTTTTTTTTTTTATTATGTCAAAATGTATAAAGGTGTAGTAACTGTAGACAATATGGATGTGAACAACCTCAACACACAACATGCTGCTATGTGGCTCAGGAGTGTAAAAAAAAGTCCTATTAACTCCACTTCCTCATACTCCATAGTCTAGACTATCACTTCAGGTATGCTGCTCTGATATTAATTAAATTGGGAATATATATCAAGTAATCAGAATACAACATAAAACAGAGAAGGCCCAAATTTTGATATAACATGAAAATAGATCTTCATTATATTAGTTCATATTGTGCATTATCCAAAAAGGATAATGAAATTTCCACAAAACAACTAAACATGTGTGTATGCTGTCAATTACAGTTCTTAGAAAATAGTTAATTGGAATCACCCAAAAAATGGCAATAGGTGCATTTTTATAATGTACCATTCTTGCAACTGTGTCTAAAGCTGAATACAAACACATCATACTAAAATGATAACCACAACAATGGCACTGTGACTTGAGTTTCCCTGTAAACTTTGACTGCTAAAAAAGGGGGGGTATTATGCATTTAGGCATAACAAAAGCAAACAAACATTTTTTTTTTTTATAACAATACAGACAGACTGATTAGAACAGTGTTCACTAGCACATGACAAGTAATGGATATACCGGGACAGTGTTAGGACTGCTCGTATGGAATCTCACCCTTCGCTGTAGCTGATAGGTTCCACAGGCCAGGATGTTGTGGCTCGAGGAAACAGGACACCACTCCACCGCATCAGCACTCAGCTCCGTGTCAAACACCTGCAGGCTACGTGTCTTCGACTTCCCAGCCATAACGGCCACCTGCTCTGCATAACGTTCCCGTTGGTACAAAAGCGAAAACTCACATAACTGTATAAGTAGTAGCCTATGTTAATACATAATTAATCCTTATGCAGTATTATCTCGCTAACTGTTAGGCTAACGTAAATCATTCAAATACAGCTGTTCGGTAGCTAGCTTGCAAGCTAAGTTATATTTGATTGCTCTCACATTGTCTCACGCAATGCAAACTGTCAACATTAGACATTTCAAGTAGTGAAGTTATTCAGTTGGTAAGTAAAATCCTAACTAAACTTCTGTTTAATGCTGAATATCGACATAAGAAAATTATCAACAAAACTCACATGTGAACCAGCCCCAAGGAAAGACCTAATGCGTCGTGACGTCACCGCATAGCAGCCGTACGGCTCCCTGACGCATCTTCGCAGCTGTTTAAATGTCTATGAGCAACTCAAACTACCCACGATTCTCTGTGAATAAAGAGTGTTAAAATCGTTGTTAAAATATAATGTTCGGTATAACGTGAAGCCCCGAGAAAAATACCAGAAGTCAAACAGGATTAACGTATCGGAAGTACGATTTCCCTTCAAAATAAAAGATACATTTTCAGTAGAAACCAATGTTTTGAAGGCAACATGAACAAGGACTTTATTTTCTAACTTTATTTGCACCGTTTGGAAAAATAGACATTCATAAGAAAGGGACAGGTCCATATATATATAGTCATGGCCAAAAATATGGCACCCCTGTATTTCTGTCAGATAAGGTCAAGGTCAAGATTTTTATTTGCCATTTATGCATAAACAGTCTAGGCATATAGGAATTCTTGTGTAGCTCTCCTTTGGAGTCAGGTAAGGAGTCAAAAGCCAGAAAGAACACTTAGTCTTAAAATAAAATGTTACATAAAGGCAACTGTCATGACAATTACATTATTATGTATGTTTTAAACTATGTTCTAATCAATATATTAACCAACATATGTTATTCAATGGAATTTAACCTTTCAGAACAGACTACAGACCACAGGGACCTGTGAGACACTGCTTGTGTGAACTGAAGGACATGTTTTATCTTTGTTTTTAGTACTCTATGTGTTGTTATATGTTCAGCCGGATGACGTTCCAGACTTAAAGGAGCCAGCCATAAACTCTTTCCTGCCATATATTGTGAAGATGAACGGACAACATATTGTTTATCATCTGAGGGGTTATCAGGGCAAAGCCTCTCAAGTTCACTTTTCCTGTTTGAATCTTCTTTTCAACTAGATTAATGCCTGGGATGCATCTTTAGAGAGTTTCCTTTGTCCTATATATTGTGATGTTTAGACTAGCTTATTCAGACAACTCTGTATGCCTATGCTGACTTGTCTCCTTGCTGCAAGTAAACCAATCTCTTATTGAAAGATTCCAGTGACTTCGTTGCTTGTTTGAAAATTCTTTTGACAGCAACAGAGCATTAAAACCGCAGTACACAAAAATAGGGTAATAAATGGTCTTATAAAGCATTTTTCTACGCTTTACAGCACACTCAAAGCGCTTTCACACTATTCGGCCATTCACCTGTTCGCACTCCCAAGCACTCATAGACCGGTGACATCAGCGGGAGCAACTGGGGGTTCAGTGTCTTGTTCAAGGACACTTCGATATGTTGACTGAACAAGCCGGGAATCGAACCGCTAATCCTCCTGAGCCACAGCCGCCCTCCAATAGTATGTAATTCAATAATAGTATTTTCCCCATGACCTTCGAACATTGCACTTAGTGATTCACTTACTCTTAAAATAAAAAAGTTACAAAAAGGCAACAAAGCATTAAAACTGCAATACACAGAAATATAGTATTTTCCCAGTGAACTTCAAACATCACACTTAATTCACATGGTGGAGTTGGATATGGCATTATGCTTGGTGAGGTAATGAGGGGTTACTGCACATATATTCTTACATTTCTCACATTTTCATATTTGCCATCAGTGTTACTGCGGCAGGGAAAAAGCTGTTGTAGTCTGGTTCTGTGTGTGATGATACTGTCCGCCTTGCTGTGCCTGAGGCTGTAGGTGCAGTTTTTGTGTCCGAGCAGAGTGTGACCTGCGTGGCACGGATCCCTGATTATGTTCTCTGCCCTTTTACAACAGTACTGCATGTATAGCATGTCCATAGTTCAGTCCCAGTGATCCTCTCTGCAGTGTTTATGGCCCTTTGAAGAGCCTTCCTCTCTGCCTGTGTGGTGTTACTATACCAGACTGATGCCAGTAGTGAGGATGCTCTCTACCAGTCCTCTATAAGCCTAGGTGAGAGGGCGACGGCTCAACCCAGCTTTTCTGAGCCACCTGATGAAGTATAGCTGCTGCTGGGCTTTCTTCACTGTGGCGGCTGTGTTCAGTGACCAGCTCAGGTCAGATGTCACCTGCAGGCCCAGGAACTTGTGGCTGTCAGCCCTCTCCACCTTAGTCCCTTTGACGGGGAGGGGTTCTTCCTGAAGTGTACTATTATTTCTTTTGTCTTGTTAAATGTGATCATGGGGCCTCCTGAGGCACAACTTTGTGTTTTTTTTTTTTTCTAGCTGTAATAGGTGTTGTAACCTCTTTTCAATACACCATATAAAATAGGCACCTTTCATCTAAATCTGTTAGTGAATGATTTGATAAGTGAACATCACATTGACTTTGTGTCTTACTGAAACCTGGTTACAGCAGGAAGAATATGTCAGTCTAAATGAATCCACCCCACTTGGTCACAGTAACTTTCACATCCCTCGAAACACAGGCCGAGGTGGAGTGTGGCAGCGATCTTTGACTCAAGCCTATTAATCAACCCTAGACCTAAACATAGTTATAACTCATTTGAAAGTCTCACCCTGAGTCTCTCACACCCAAACTGGAAACCTCAAAACGCCTGTTCCGTTTGTCATTGTATACCGTCCACCTGCTCCTTATTCAGAGTTTAAGTGAATTCTCAGACTTTGTCTGATTTAGTGCTTAGTACAGATATAATAATCATAGTAGGCGACTTGAAGGTGCTATATATCCTGTGGCAAATGTGACTATTCATTCAACGCTGCCAAAATTGCTTGGAAATTTAAAGCAAGTATAACACTAGAGGCCGCTTTAGTTCAGTGTGTTTAAGGCACTGAGGGCACTGTTGGCAGCATTTACCGTCCACCAGCAGCGTGCTCTTCGTCCTATGCCAGACGTTTGATACAGTCATCCTCAATACCAAACATCTTGGCAACTTCAGGATGAAAGGAAAGTCACCCAAAGGGAAGCCACCAACTACTCCCCATCTACCAATGTATGAAAATCCTCTTGACATGTGTGAACACTCAAGCCAGTGCCATAGCTTAAGGCCAACAGATGAAACAATACACAATACAGGAAATGCAAACTTTATTTAAAAGGTCGCTTGCCCTTAAATCTACCTTAGTCCCCTGAAGAAACCCCTTCCACTTCCTGTGGAGATAAACAAACGTCAGACCATCATTATGCAAACACAGCAAGACAAACTGAAAGCTTGCCGTTTTGAGTTTTTGGGAGGCCCACCTCTGGTTTGTCTGTGTCTGAGGGAGTCTGTGTACTGGAGGGGGTCTCAACCTTGTTCTTCAGGTCAGTCATACTTATGTCCTTTCCTGCTGCTGTGTTCTCTCTCCTGCGTGACAGAAGATGCACAAAAAAAAAAAAGTTGCTAGCTAAAGACATTACACATAGAAATACTTCACTTGAGTGTTCAGATCAGTCTTCCTGAATGCATGGCACTGTGGATGTAATGTCAAGTCAGTCCACTGACTTTGTTCAGATTGAGATGTCTGTTACTGTGGTTACCGGTACATTTCCATCATATCAGACTTATCGGAATTGGGAGCTAGGGGTTAAATAGTTTTCACAGAAACCTGCAAGTCACTATTACGACTGGAAAAGTGAATGCCTCAAATCAGCCAAAAATCAGTGTAACAAAACCCAGACATATTGTTGCAAGCATATTAGCATTTCCAAGTATAGCTGTGTCCAAATATGTTTGTGTTAAGATGGTTTCTACTTAAGTAAATCAGAAAAACCTTATATTCTGCTTCCTCTTGACACACACTACTGTCACAGCAATGACCAACACTCCTACACAGATGCCCATGGTGCCGTAGATAGCTGGGCCCTGCATGGTCTTCAGTATACTGTCCTGACAGGAGTCACCTCTGTAACCCGCTGAACACACACACACAGCATCCCCATCACCCTCCACACAGCGTCCGTTGCCACTGCAACGTCTCTGGCTGCACTGCTGGGCATCCAGGTTCATGAGCTGGCTGCTGACATTCAGGGTGGTGTTTAGGTCAGTGGTTTCGGACAGAGGGGAGGGAGAAGATTTGGGAGGCTCAGTTGGTGCAGAGACAACTCCTGAGAACTGCTTTGGGTTGACACCTAATAAAAGATGATGCGTCTCAGCCAGAATTCCATGTGGTTTTGGATTCAAGTACACTTACATCTGCTTCTGTATAATGATATTTTCTAATTCTTATTGGTTTTTAAAAGGAGGAATAGAGACTCACAGTTCTCGTCCGAGTGATCAGAGCAGTCTGCATGACCATTACAGAACTTGTCAGCAAGCAGGCATGAGAGTTGATCCAGACACAGCTTGCTGCCACTTGGGCAGCGCTGATCTGGGCTGCAATGAGTGGCGTTTACAAGGATGTGGTCATGGCCACAACTGCAAGTCCGACCTCCTGGGGTGGCAAGGCATAAATGCTGGCAGTTGCCATTGTTTTCTGTGCACTGGTTAGAACCTGCCAAAACAATTAGTCAATCAGCTGGAGTTCATTGTTTTTTTGGCATCAGACGACATTTGGAACTACCTAGATGAGTGACTCCAAAAAGGCTACATCACCAAGAACTTGCCCCTGAGTAATTCAGGTAGGGGGTTACATACCAGCCTGACTGGATTTGCTGAAGGCCTTCAAGGTGACCACTTGTGTGCCGACCTCAAACCATAGTTTGTTCTGCTGCTGCTCATCTCTGTACCAGAGCCTTGTCTTGTCTGAAAGAAATACCAGAACACCATAAAAAAAGTAGATAAGCTATTGTAATGGCACAGATTGAATTTAATCAACTTTCTTCCAAACTGATTTTCCCATGACGGTACCAACTTGTACATCAACTGACCGTTTAAGAACCATTATATATTATGACAGTAGAGGAATAACTAAGGCAAAGTTATGCTGCTGATGTACCACCTCCTTGCTGACATTGTCATTTAATTTTAGTACAGAGTCTTTACCACTGACAGTAATCCAGAGCAGTGCATCATCAGCGAGAGCCACAGCAGCCAGGCCATCACCAGCCTTCAGTTCTGTGTATCCAGATCCATCAAGCAGGACAGAGCTGATGATCCCTAAATCTGAAAAAGAATTTCTGGCTTCATAAACCCCGAATTACAGTTTTACTTTGAATGTATGAGATCTTAAGAGCTTTTCATAATTTTTTTTTTACCAGTCTCAGCCCAATAAATTGTATCCCCATTACTGGAAAACACCAGAGATGTAGGCTGGACAGCATCCTTCCATACCACACGTCGTTGAGCGCCATCCATGTTGGCACACTCCACAGTAGCTTGTATGGCATCTATTGCCTGTTGGTTCAGGTTGGTGAAACAAACTCTGCTGCTGGGAGGATGAAGAGCAATTGACTTCACTCTACCAATCCCTTCCTTCATGAGAACAGCAGTGTGAGCACCTGTGACGGAGGTGACCTGCAGGCGGAGCTGTTTGTTGCTACTCCAGTAGATGTTAAGTGTTACCCAGTCCAGTGCCATGGCAGTGATGGTATCATCCAGCAGTTTTAGAATCTGGCCCTGGGAGGACAAGTCTGAGTTCTTCAGTTTGAAGGAGCTGAGTGAGGTTGTGCCATCATCTGTTAGGATGAGGGTGTGGTCACGTAGGCTGTAGTCCATGATGGTAGCTTCATTGATGCCAGGCACCTGCAGGGCCAGGTGTTCAGGCCAGCCCTTCAACACGGCTGTTGCTGCATGTCGCGACTGCAAGTAGATCTACAGAGACCATTGGAGAGGTCTGATAAGTTGCAAGTTATGACCAGCAGGAGTACAAGTGTCATGAATTATGTTATATGGTGATGGCCCAAAATTAAGGGTGATTTAAAATGCATCATAGAAGCATCTTTTGGCACTTTAATCTCATATTTGGGTTAGTTTGACACTTTGGGAATGTGCTTAGGTGACTGAAAACACTCATCTATGGTAAATATGAGGTTTGAGTCCACAGCAGTGGGCATAAAAACTGGAGACATGATCAGTTAATCAGAAACTGGAGACATGTTCAGTTCATCAGAAGCTGGAAGGCAGTGATTCACTGCCTCATTCATCACTCCATCTTCATCTAAGATGACATCTTCCAGGGTCTGATTGACTGAACACACCTGATCCAAGTAATCAGCAGTGGGCAAGGGAGGGATAGCTGGAAAACGAGCACAGCAACAGCTCTGGAGAACCGGGATTGGCCACTCGTAAAAATAAAAACAGTTTAAAGTCGTTGTTTTTTTAAGTCTAAATACATGGGGAGTAGGATGTAGTATTAACTAGTACCAATACAACAGCTTCTGATCAGAAAATATTCTGGCACACAAGTATCCATTAACCAGGGAGTTTGTTTTACACTTTGGTTTTTGTATAGATTGAAAAATATTTAACTTGCAAAGGTTAACCTGGCACTAATATTTGTACAGAAAGGAGGTATCAATTTTCTCCAACTAGAAAAAAATCCACAATGTCAAACTGTTCCTTTAAAAAGCATTTTTCTTCAAAGCAATTCAGACTTGACTATGCACTGTAGCAAAACCTGGGTGACTGTGCAAGTCAGGCCATCTTCATTCAGTAACAGACCAGCAGGACACCTGCACACGGCCTTGGGTCCTGGGGCTAACACACACATGTGGGAACAGCCCATCTTCTCACAGGGGCTCTCAATGCTCATCTGGAGCAATGGGTGGATGATCTGCAAGACATGAATGAGAGTGAATATAACAAGTGCAAGATGTTTCAAATCAGTCCTGCAAGAATTTCCTAAAATTGTGCCAGAATGGGTTAATAGACTAAGTAAATGGAAAGTTTCAAATGTACAGTGTCATTACTGTGCATGAAATTCAGTGAGCCACTAAACACCACACACATCGCTATCAATTTAAAACCAGCAGCATTTTTCTGTACAACTTAAATCCTGAACTTTTATTCACCTTCACACCAAATGGTTGTCTAGGTCTCTTCAGGAGAACTTTGTGGCTTTTACCAGTGATTTTGTGAGCAGCCCGCACCACTCTCTTCTTGGCATCAGACCAGTAGAGTAAGTCACTCAATATTGCCAGAGAGAATGGGTTGGTGGTTTCTTCCATCTGTAGAATCTGAAAATTACAGTTTCACTCAGCACACTTACACTTTGTAAAGTTTAAATGACTCAAGAGTTCTGTGGCAAGACTTGGGATAGAAGAATTTAAAGAATACTACAGATAAACTGTTTTCCAAGCTTAGACAGCTTGAGAGAACACCCTCCTAACAGGTTTTACATGAATGTCGTCCCCATCCAGCGTTGCTGAGCCAATTGCCCTCAGTCTTTCATCTGTCCAGTAGACTCTGTCAGAGATGGGGTCCACAGTCACGTCACCTGGCCAGCCCAGGCTGGAGTTCACCACTACCATCCTCTCTGACCCATCCATCCCAGCACGCTCAATCTTCACAATATTACCAATTTCTGTCCAGAACATCAGCCTAGTAGAAACATCCAAGACTGAATGTTGGTGTTATGGTTATTACAAATATTGTGGAATGTTTTGATCAAAATAAACTCATAGTGACCCTTTTTGTGGCAGCAGAGCCAGAGAACGGGGCTGATCTAGGTCTTCATCGAGGATGACACTGTGGTCCAGTGACTTCACAGGTGTTGTGGCCAGTCTGATGGCAACAATCTGACTGTTCACACCATCGATCCAGTACAAGTTCCTCCCAAGCCAGTCCACAGCTACAGAATCGGCCCGGACTCCTGTGGAAACAAATGTCTTGAGGTCTCCTTATGCATGACAGCAAATATTTGTGCAGATTTAATTATGTTAATACACTTGTTATGCCTCCACCACATTTATGTTGCACCAACCTTTAACCACAGTTCCTGTGGCTTTCTGGTCCAGTGAGGACCACATGATGCTGTTTGTGTCCAGACTGACCCAGAAGACCCTCTGCTCCTGCCAGTCATAGTCCAGAGATAGAATGGCCTTCTTGGCAGAGGAAGACAATATATCTAGGCTGCCACTGCGCAGACCCAGCAATATGAGGTCTGTTTGGATCGACGACAACAGGAAAGGTTCACCTGAGCAAAGAGAGGAAGATGAAGGTTATTCAAATTAGCATGACATTAGGCTTGTATTCAATGTTTAGTGAGCCATTTGAAGTGACTGTGCGCAGATACAAACTTTAAAGGCTAGAAGCTTAGAATAGTATAAAGACTAGAATGTCTGGGGGGACTTCATAGTTTGTGCTAGGTTATCCGTCTCTAGCTTCATATTTAATGTAAACAGGAGTCAATCTTCATTTAGCTGTTGGCAAGAAAGTGAACTGCAACAAAGTGTAGTTGTCAAAATGTTGAGCTTCTGACACTAAATATCCTTGTTTTCTACTTCCCCTACAAATGCTGTTGTGTGGCCTAGTAAAGGAGTTTACCAGTGATCTTGCAGCGTTGTCCATCTGTGTCCATTATGTATCCTGGGTGACAGTCACATTTGTAGGAACCAGGAGTGTTGATGCACAGCTGACTGCACACACCTGAGCTCCAGCTTTCACACTCATCAATATCAGCACAGGTCAGCCTGTCCTCCATGAGCCTGAACCCTTCTGCACAGAGACAGCGCTGCACAACAAGAACCAAGGATTAGAGCAGCTGCAACATTTGTGTCTCAACACTACAAATTTGAATCGATCAAAGCCTCGGTTGTCCAGAACAGTCTTTCATAAACTGCATTCTTCTATTTTAAGCCACTAATTTAACTCAATTAGTTGATGCAAATAGCATCAAGGTACAGGATCGTCACCGTTCCCTGTGGTGTGCTGTAGCAGGTTTGAGAGCAGCCACTGTCATCTTTGCAGGCTATCTGGCAGCTGCCTCCCTCATCTGAACCATCTGCACAGTTGGTGATGCCATTGCACAGAAGAAGTGGATCCAGGCACTCCTGACTGCCACACTGGAACTGGTGTGGAGGGCATGCCATCACCCCACCTGGTATGCACACACCATTTTCATGTTTATACAGAATGTTAAGATACTCAGCTCAAGTTTCACATGAAAACCCTTTGCTGAAAACATGAAGCCCTCAGTGTTTTACTATCAAAGGTTTTCCTTTTTTTATTACATGTGCCTAAAAATTTGCCGCAAATGGTGTACTGCAAAAAAACTCATCTTATTTATCTTGAAAAAAAAAACAATGCACTTTGTATCATATTTTTGCCAATCTTTATTTGAACTGAATATTTTGCAGTTAACAGGCTATGATGCCCCATTTCTAAAAAACATGCATTGTATATAATCACCAATATGCTAAAAACTCCACATCTTCTAATGTATCACTACTTACATTCAGTCTCATCACTGCCATCATTACAGTCCTTCATGCCATCACACCTCCAGGCTGTTGGGATACACATGACCTTGGAGTTGCACAGCCACTGGAACTCACCACAGTTCACTGGAGCCATAGGACAATCCTGCAAAGGGAACCAAGGGATTATTTTACTCTTCTCAAGTGGTCCTTCACGATTTCAACTCAGACTAGTCACCTGGCTCCTTGAGGCCAGGTGACTGTTTAGACCATTAGCATATCTGACTTTAAGCCACTAGTTTTTCAGGAATTGACCAGAATGAAGTCCTTTTAACACAGAACACCTACCAGCAGCTGCTCTGACCCCAACCTTTAACCTTCATGCAGTCAAGGTGTAAGTGAAGGTCTCAAGATCAATATATACCCTACAGATTTTAGCTCAAAATGAGCCTTAAGTTTTGATTTACAGCCATTTTCCCCATTACATTCCATATATAATGAAAGAGGTACATATGGGGACCAACCCAGAAAAATGACTGACATTTTAGGATTGTACTTGCATAATCCTGCTATTTTAGTGCTGCTTACAAAGAGAAGATTAAAAAAAAGTCTACTTTTGCCCAACAAACTTATCACACTGCCTTCAATGTGCACCTTCTCATCTGTGCCATCTTTGCAGTCCTGTTCTCCATCACAGATCCACTCCTGCACCAGACACTCTTGGCTCTGTGGGCAGCGGTATTTGGTGGGGCAGACAGGTGCTTGGGTGCAGCTCTCCTCATCTGAATGATCCCAGCAGTCCGGGTGACCGTCACAGCGCATTGTAGCCAACACACACTGGCCACTGTTACATGTGAACTCAGAGGCACTGCAGCTCTCTACAGCTACAGAGGGGGTGGGAACAAAGATATCACAAAGGTGTCCTACAAAAGGAAAGCTGCTTAATCCATTAAGTCTATTAATTTCCCGTTTCACCAACATACCACAGTTCTCCTCATCACTGTCATCTGAACAGTCCCTCTCCCCATCACAGAGGAAGCTGCTAGGAATGCAGCGCGTCTTGTCATCACATTGGTGAGCACAGCCTTCCATGTGCTTGGCACATCCCAGTTCATCTGAGCGGTCCTGACACTGAGGCACACCATCACACACCTGACTCTGCTCTATACACTTCTTCCCATGAGCACATGGAAACTGATCTGCAGAGGACACATGGCATCAAGATGCTGTCAGATTATGCATTTCATTATTACACATGCCATTTGTGCAATTATGTACTTTGTAGTGACAGTGCAATCCAATGTTACATCACATCATGTGTTCAGTTACATTTGCCGATGTTCCCCTCCTGTTGTGCTCAAACCTTTAATACTAGCCACTAGAGGGCAGTGAAGTTATATTTATAACCCATAAACATCAAAACCACATTACCCATCCCACACGCTGATGAGCATTCTTCCTCATCTGAGCCATCTCTGCAGTCTGCTTCGCCATCACACACATGGCTGTAGTGGACACACTGTACGTTGTCCCTGCAGGGTTTTAAGCCCAAAGAACACTTGATGGGTGTTGATGAGCCCACAATAGAGGTTGTACTGGTCCCTTCTTCCTTTTCATGTCCATCTTCCTCTTGGTCCTCTGATAACGAAAGATGAAAATTACAATTCAAGACTACATATTATGCAAATCTGAAATAGATTATCTCTTGTCAAAACGCTATATTCTCAAATCCTTTCAACCTACCACAGTGAGCCTCGTCTGTGCCATCTAAACAGTCATCCTCTCCATCACAGAGGAGGCTTGCAGGCAAACAGCGGCTCTGGTCGCAATGGTGAGCACAGCCCTCAGTTTGCTTCATACACTTCAGTTCATCTGAGTGGTCTGGACACTGAGGTACACCATCACACACCTGGTCCTTGTCTATACACTCCTGCCCTTGGGCACACTGGAACTGGTCTTTTTGAATGAAAGCATTTGACATTAAAAGACTAGCAGTGGTTTTGACTTTCAGACCATTTTGCTTGCATTTCTATTACTGGTGTGTCTGATAGTATGCCAAACAAAATACTGGAACATAAGTGACATAAGTTGGTGACAGCTACCAGATTATTTTTCTTTGGACTTTTATGAAAGTATGATTGTTACTGTATTAAAGGTAAAACATTCTGAGAAGTGATGATTCCACTGTATGATCATTTTAGAGGCTGTGGTTTCTGCTGCATTATACTGCACCATTTAAATATTGATTCAGAAAGTATTCAACTTTTTTAAATTTGTGGATAAAACTTTGAATGATACTTTCCATTTCTACCCATCATTATACAATTAATCACCCATGATGACAAAATGAAACCATGTCAGAATTGGCCAAAAATTAATCAAGAACCAAAAACTGGCTCTCCAAAGTATTCCGACCATTTACCACTTTGTAGCAGCCCCTTTGGCAGCAAGTACAACTGGAAGGCTTCTTTGATACATCTATACCATTTTTGCACACCTGAATTTGGGCCATTTATCCCATTATTCATAGAAAATCTTCAAGGTCCATCAGACTTGCAGCGGAGCCACTTCAGTATCGTTTCAGCCGTTTGCTTTGGGTATTGCCATGTTGAAAGGTAATGTCACCCTGGTCTGAGTGTGTGCGCTCTGGAGGTGGTCTCCTTCAAAGATATTCCTGCATTTGCCGGCATTCCATCCCTCAGTTCTTACCAGTCTCCCTGTGCCTTCTGCTGAGAAGTATCCCCATAGCATGATGCTGCTGCCGCCGCCACCTTGTTTGACTGCAGAGATGGTCGCAGCCAGGTGATATGTTGTGTTTGCCATTTGCCAGAAATGGTGCTTGCTGTTCTGTCCGAAGTTAGATTTGTCTCAGACCAGAGAATCTTTTCACATATCGTCAGAGACCTGTACATGCCATGTACAAGCAGGATGTAATATGCCTTTTAAGTCAATGGCTTCAATCTCACTACTCTGCCAGAGGCCCCGATTTATGGAGTGCTGCAGAAATAGTTGGCCATCCAACAGGTTCTTCCACACCGGACTTTTGGAGCTCTTTTAAAAGTGACCGCTGGGTTTTTTGTCACTTGCCTGACCAAGGCACTTTGTGCCTGGATGCCCAATTCAACCAGACAGCTAACTCTAGGAGGGGTCAGGGTTGTGCCCAGCCTCTTCCATTTCAAAATCATTGAAGCCATTGTGGTCCTGGGAACTCACTGCCTTGGAAATCATTTTATATTCTTGCCCTGATCTATGATTTGCCATACAAGAGATCGTGACATCCACAGCCAGTTCCTTGGACTTCATGGCTCGGGGTTTTCATAATCAGCTTTATTGGCCAAGTATGTTACACACAAGGAATTTGTTTCCTGTACAGAACCGAGGCAGCCATCTGCGGCGCCAACTCAACTGATGGTTCCAACTTGGGGGTTCAGTGTCTTGCCCAAGGACACTTCGACATGTGGACTGCAGGCACCGAGACTCAAACCTTCAACCTTCCGGTTGGGAGATGACTGTTCTACCCACCGCACCACTGTCACCTCAAATACATTTGTCCCATCAAAACAGCGCAAATTGTGGGTCCTTATAGACACAGGTGTGTGTGCCTTTGCAGAGCATCTAATCAATTCAATTTGCAACAGGTGTACTCCATTTGAGTTCTAGACACATCTGAATGATAAAGCCAACAGAATGCATCTGACCAAAGACTGGAGTACAACAGCAAAGGGCGTGAATACATCAAAGTAAACAATTTCACTTTCTGAATCTTGATTAATCTTCAGACAAGTATATGACCATTGTTTCACTGTCAAAGAAGAGTATAATCAAAACTGAACCCGCAATATCATGTGTAGAACGTATAGGGATCTGAATACTTTCTGAAGGCACTGTAAATTGGATGGACAGAACAGAAACGCCCATCAAGCTTCAGCTCAGCAGCACTCAAACTACATTTTCCAAAGTGATCATGCAGTTGAATCAACAGCTCTTTAAAACATTTAAAAACTGAACATTATCACTTTCATGAGCATTTATTACGGGACTGTTGGATTAGAATGCATTTGTTAGCTACTAAACAAGTCAAAACAAACCTCAAAGTAATGCCAAGTGGTACTGGACTAAATCATGCATTATCTGTAGATAAAACTTCATACCTTCACTGCATTCAGATACACAGTCCTCTTCATCTGATCCATCCCCGCAGTCTGGCTCGCCATCACACAGGTGTCTGTAGAGGACACACTCAGAGCCATCCTTACAGAGTTTGTAGCTCAGGCCGCACTTCAACGGACTGCTCCTAGCTGCAACGACAGTTTGGCTCAAATAAACAGAAAAGAACAAGATTGCACTGACTACAAACAGTGTTTAAAACATCAGAGGATACAACACTCGTCATCTAGTGTCCAAGCTGAAAATTTAACACATTATCACATTGAGCAGAATATTTTTATTTTTTATTTCCTTAGGGTGTAAACGCAATTTCGGTATGTCTTCTTACCTTGTAAAGACCACAACTGCAAAACCAGTGCAAAAATAAATAAACACCCACCCATCGCCACAAGATAAAAAATAAAATGGGACCAAACGCCTCCAACCGCTGAATGGTAACATTTTATAATGGTACCAGGTGACGCCAATACAACCTAATTGATCACCTGAGTGGATTTTCTTCTTCTTCGGTTGTTTAATGGCGGTAGACAAACAGCTTTGAGGGGTGGATCTATCGCTTCTTACCATGTATATAATATTATCCTGAATAGTTGTAGTTGTTTTATATCATACATAAACACAGAGAAATTCATACCGATTTAAAATAGCTGTAACTGTTTGATACGTTTTGCTTAACCCACCATTGTCTTTTATATGTAAAATATGTAAAAATGTCCATAATGTGTGAATGCTCTGTTAATATGCTGAATAAAAGTCGACTTTGTCTCCAAACTTCTCTGAATGACAGGCATAATCCATGCTGTCAAATAAACAAGAAGGACTGTCAAGCCACTTTACAGAGTATGTCTTCTTATAATCCTCCAATCACCTTTTGAATAGGAGGGATTAAGTGCTGGTACGTCGCCATCAGGTTTGTTGTGTTGTTTCGCTCTACCTAACCCTGCTAACTAGTAGCACTGGTAGCAACTTGTGAAGAGCTCACAAATCTACTCAAATTAGCTGCAGTGTAGTACAGTTCAGGCATTTTTATGTCAACAAGGTGCTCAGAGGGCTGTGTACATCTTTTTTTTTTTTTTTTTTTAAAGCGGACATGAAGGGGGCGAGGAGGGTTTGTTAACTTTTTTTTTTTTTTTTTTTTTAAAGCGGAGCACTGGACTTTAACAGCGGGGTAACTATTGAAATGCTTTAAGATGCTTTCTCGAGTTTGGAGCTTGTTGTTTTGTGTGAGAGATGCAAGTTAGCTTCGCTAGCCAGCGGGAGCCAGGGCTCAGTTTGGAAGAGTTCGTCCCAGATGCTAACTCGTTTTGATGCTTGACTTTGAGTAGAAGTCGGAAACATGCATTGGCTACATTATAATAAAACACTGCAGCATTTGAATTCATAAAGTGACAGCTTGTGTTATTAGATTACTTATAGCCTGGATTTGTTTGCCAAGCTGCCGTCAGGTAGCAGAGTAGCATGACTTGACTGTTGCGCACAGGAGGTTTTTTCGAGGATCACAACAAAAGGATTTTTGATAACAAGCTGGCAGCTAGCTCCGTTAGGCTAGCGTTAGCTGACCTAGCTAGATGGTGAGCATTTCTCTGTTATCTCCGATCTGCTGAGTTACGTTAACTGTAGTCCTTTCGCTTTTCATTTTTAGTTAAAGCTATTTCGGCATACAGCTGTTAAACACTCAGGAAACTACCGCTGGTAAACTTATTGTTGTGATTGGAGTCAAACAGGACCCCCCATCAGGTAGCTAGCCGCCGGCCTTCCCAAGCCAGTTGGCGTTAGCACCGGGGGGCCTGTCACAAAATGACTTGTTCACCTCATGTGTTAGCATTCACCGTGTTACTCGTTACCTTCATCAATGGCGGATCGTGATTGCTTGTATGTACAGAATGCGACAGTGTGAGCACACCCCGCGTGTTAACTTTATAAGTTTGCAGACATGCTAGCTTAGATGTTGAGCAGTGTTTGTTACAAGCTAATTTCACGCGGACATTTCTGCTTGTTCAACTCACCTAATGTTTAACTTTACACAAGAGGCAGTTGTGTAATGTTAGCCACTACCAAAACTGTCACACTGTTTTATTTAGTTGTAAAGCTGCATTGATTAATGCATGCCTTTTTATTGTTTATGAGACTAGTTATGGTTATACCATGTTTTCTTTGTAATGATGTACTTTGTGTCTGACTTTCTCCCAAGGTGTCCATCTCGTTTGAGTATACCAAGCTAGAGCGCTGGCTTCTGCCCTGTGACTCACTGGTCAGTAAAGGGGCCCCATCAGAGCAAGGGCCCACACTGTAGCTCCAGGTCCCTTCTGTCTCTGTGTGTGACAGCTTGTGTTGAGTCCTCTGGAGACTCCCGGCTTGTCCAGCTAAGATGTCCTCCATTTTGCCGTTTACCCCTCCTGTGGTGAAGAGGCTGCTTGGCTGGAAGAAGTCGACCAGCAGCCCAGGAGGAGCGGGTGGTGGAGAGCAGAATGGGCAAGAGGAGAAATGGTGTGAGAAGGCTGTGAAGAGCTTAGTGAAGAAGCTAAAGAAGACAGGCCAGCTGGATGAGCTGGAGAAAGCTATCACCACACAGAACTGCAACACCAAGTGTGTCACCATTCCGAGGTATACTGCACAGCATTTCACTACTCCTCACACTAGGGTCTGAGAAGAAGCAAGCTTTCTTAGCCGATACCTCAGCCTGATGGAGAATCATGAAACCATGGGGTTGTGGCAGATCCTAATCTTGTTTATTTCTGTTTTCATAATTTTCTGTTATAATTAGCAAACATCGTAAAGAAAGTTTAAAAATATGAGATGGTTTGTTTAGGGATGTAATTAGGGATGCAGAGTAGTAGAACAGAAATCGCTTATTAAAGATAAGCTTAAGATGAACCAAGTCACGGTTTGTTTACAACTATGCTTAAAGTTTACACTTACAGACAGTATTACTCTCTTGGGGGGAGAGAGGGAGAGTAAAAGGACAAGAGAAGATGTTCTCTTTATCAGCCAGCCAGCCAGCCTTGATGGCCTAGACTCATGTTCAGTGGGAACACTTTGTTAACGGATTCATTCCTCGCTGATATGCCGCCAAGTACCACGTCATATGTTTGTATGTCTGGTTGTTATCGCCTGAGAACTGTTCTAGGCTGCACTGTTACATTTGTGGAGATACAGCAGCTGGCTAGATGTGAATGCAATTATTTCTTGTAGAGGATATCTACATGAGAGAGGGTGGGTTACGAGCTTCAAATACTGCCAGTCATAGGCATTGCCAGTAGCCATACAGTTTGTGAACGAGGAGCTTGTCTGACATGTTTACCACTTTGGCATGTATCCATTTAATATTTACTTGCACAAACACTAAACACACAAAAAAGCAGTTGAATTTTTTGTCCTACAAGCTGTTTTGGCTGGTGGACAGTAGTTGGTGTCTTACCCTGTCATCAACCACACATTGCTAATTTTTATGGTAGTTTAGATCCCACTAAAGTAATCAAGTTTAGTACATGTTGTCTATTTGTAGCATTTAACATGTAGAATTTTGTTATTACCCTGTTATTCAGAAGCAACTACTCATTTGTCGTCATTCCATGTTTTCATGTCTTATTTTTGGATGCTTTCTTGTAAATGTTTTGAGGATGTCTGAATTGTTTTTCCTAAGGTTCCCTTTGTCATTTTTCCCCCTCTTATGAGCCATTGTATGTCTTCAGTGTTTGCTTGAACATCTTCAGATAAGTTTGGATATAAACGACTGCAGTGAAAAAGTTTAGATCCTTTTCCCCCAGTGTTTGATACAGTGCCGTTGAAGAATGCTCTTCGTCTCACTCATTGTGTGTGTTAACAGAGTCCATGTTCTGATTTTTTCTTAATTCTGTCAAAAAGGCTTCTCTTATTTGAAGTTCCCATCTTTCTTTTCCACAGCTGAGACTTTGATGTCTTTATTTTGCCATAAGACTCCAATAAAAGAGGCCTTTTAATGTTCACATTACCCATACTGATATTTCTGAATGAGCCATGTCCCATGTTTATCATTTGTTTTTTGTTTTTGTTTTGTTGTTTTCTCTGTGCACAGCAATTGCTCTGAAATATGGGGACTGAGTACACCAAATACGATAGAACAGTGGGATACATCAGGCCTATACAGCTACCCTGACCAAACCAGGTGACTATTCTCAACTATTGTATGGTGTTGCGTACAACTTTGATGTGGGAGAGTTGTCATTATAGTGTTGGAAGTGACGGACACTGAGAACCTCTTGTTTCTTATTTTCATCACCACTCAATCCAATCCATTTCCATTTCCCTCCCCCACCCGGCCATGTTATGTGTCACTCCCCCCCCACCTCCCTTGTCTATCTTCTACACATCTCACCACCATCTCCTGTTTGCTGTCAAATCAGATCCCTGGATGGCCGTCTGCAGGTCTCGCACAGGAAGGGACTTCCCCATGTTATCTACTGCCGCTTGTGGCGATGGCCGGACCTTCACAGTCACCACGAGCTGCGCGCCATCGAGTCCTGCGAGTACGCCTTCCACCTCAAGAAGGACGAGGTCTGCATCAATCCCTACCATTATCAGAGGGTGGAGACCCCAGGTGAGAGGAGTTTGTATTTCAGTTGATCTGCATGACTGTTTAAATCTTATCAGCAGATCAACTGAATGCTAAGCAGAAACATCATAAACATATTTATCATATGTCTGTGTAGCATTTAGTTTTATGTTCCCAGTAATGAAGGTGTTGGCTGTAGACTTGCACGGTATTTAACAGACATATTTAGAGTGGTATCAGTCTTGCCATTCAACTTTTAGCAAGAAGGCAAACAAGCGCATCTTCCAAAATGTGCAGCTATTCCCTTAAGTGTTTTACAGCGAGACACTGATCAAATCTGCAGTGAAACATGCTTCACATTGCCATTAATGAATGTAAGTATGTATGCTTCACATTGCCATTAATGAATGTAAGGTTTTAGTTTAAGTTTCTCTGGGGAGTGTTTCATCAATGTCTTGTTGCTGTGATTGTATTTTCTGCCCCTCAGAATAATCAGATTTGTTTTAATTCATGTTGAATTTTGCATTAAAAGTTTTCCAAAAACAACTGACAATAACTTTGGAAAAGCATGTAACTGGTAGGTGTCTAACTCGTCTCTTATGACACCTTTACCCAACACTGTAGTGCTGCCTCCTGTTCTTGTGCCAAGACACTCAGAAATCCTGCCAGAGTTGCCACCTCTGGATGACTACACTCATTCCATACCTGAGAACACAAACTTTCCCGCAGGAATTGAACCTCCAAACAACTATATACCAGGTGAGTTCACCGCTGCACTAGATGGGAGTGACTATACTAGTGTTATGTAAAGTACTTACTGAAATCTGAAAGTGAAGAAACTCTTATTTTGGGTTTCTCTATGCACTGTATTTACATGTTATCTGGCTTACACTATACTGTGTGTG